GTTTCTCTCTCTCCCTTCCTCTCTCTCTAAAATCAATAAACAAACAAACATATTTTAAATTTTAAATTCATGACAACAAAAAACACAAAAGGGAAAGGGTAGTGGTGGCATAGTAGTCTAAGGTCTTAGCATTCTTGGGAAAGTGGTATAAGTAAGTAATCATTTATATTACAGTGTAATAAGTCAAACAGGAATATTGTAATCTCTAGGATTTCTAAAAGAATGTGTAATTAATAAGCTAACAAAGAAGGTTAATGTTATAATCAAAATATTTTAATTAATTCAAAATAAGGCAAGAAACAAAAGAATAAGGGATATAAAGTGGACAAAAGGAAAAAATAGTAAGATGCAGGCATAAATCCAAATACAGCAACTATATTAAATGTTAATGGACTAAAATTTTTTCCTGTTGAAATAAGGATAAAGCAACCTTGTTTTAGGCTTAGCTAGACTGAAAAAAATAGTTACCAACTACAACTGAAAAGGCAGGGATTCCTAAAGCAAAATGTGGAAGAGGGAAGTAACTTTTAGCTGCCAGCCCTGCAGGGCAGGGTTCTGAGTGAAGCTTGAAGCAAGAAAAGCTGTCCTAGCCCTGGCCAGTTTGGCTTAGTGGTTAGAGGTTCGTTTCCTGGTGAAGGGCTTGTACCTGGGTTGCGGGTGTGTCTCTCTCACACCATGTTTCTCTCTTTCTTTCCTTCCCCCTCCTTCCTCCCCTCCCCTCTCTAAAAAAAATCAATGGAAAAAATATCCTAGGGTGAGGATTAAAAAAAAAAAAAGAAAAACTGTGCTTTCAGTGCTGTGGATTGTTTCTAACATGCAAAAGAGGAGGACTTTAACATGTCTTTGTTGCAAACCTTTTATTTTGAGGAGTCCTCCACAATGTGTTCTTAAGTAATGCAAATGTAAAGCAAAGACTCTCTATGGAAGCTGTTTGAAAAGCTAACTGTGCTTTGTTGTTGCAAATTGTTTTAAATTCTTGCTACTGTGTGCTTAAACAACAGTTTGGTCTTTTCACAGGAATGGTTGTGGTTAGTTTTCTTCTAAATCACCCAAAGGAAAACAGCTCATCTCTGTACACATTACTTTTCTTCTGAAGACCACACACTAGTCTCACATGAAGAACTAATTTTCTTTCTATTAATATGATTTTATTTGTCATCTTTGGGAAATAAAAACCTTTTAAAAAAATTCCTATACTTCCATTACAAATAGCTCCCATTTTACCTGAGAATCCATCTGTCTGATTAATCTAGGATGGAAAATATATTTTCTAATAGATTACCTTATATCTCTAAATTTCTCTCCTAATTTGGGGCTGGGGCTAGGAAGGAGGGTGATTCAGTAAATCTCATTACACCACACTTAGGTTATCAGTGTCAGTGCTAGGATATTGAGTTGGCTGGACCATCATCTGAAGATATAAGTTTTTATGTTATTTTTGAATAGTCTAGACAGTCTAAGAATTAGGGAAGAGAAAAGCTATAGAGATAGGAAGGTATAGGTTGAGGTATAAACAAGGAGGACTTGAGTTGGGGGTAGAAATTCCACCTCTTAGTGGCTGAAAATTGTTCATTCACTAGCAATGTTTTTGTTTTGTTTGTTTTTTGAGTCTGTGCTGCTTGTACAGCACTGCCACAGAAGATGCAAAAAGGCACCCTAGATCAGCATATATAGGAATGCATTAGTAAAATGTATACAAGGGCCACACATGAAATACCAAACGAATGGGGCAAATGGTCAATACAACAAAAATTCATAAAGTAAACATCGAAGTTAAGGCAGTGAGAGGGTGGTCTTTAAAAGATAAAACTTGGATAAAATGAGGTGTTAGGGGACAGTCTACATAGGGGTCAGGAAGCAAATAAAGCTCAAGTAGCAGGAAAACACACTCAAAGTTATTAAGCATTTAGTATGTCTTTTTATTTGTCATTTATGGCCTTTCCAGTGAATGCAGTAAAAAAAATAAAAGAAAAAAAAAAAGAGGAAGAAGTATGACTCAATCTCTGCCTCAAGGAGTTTAAACTAGATGAGAGACAAGACAAAGAAACCCTTGCAGCCAGTAGAGGACAGAAAGGCCATAAAAAAGTGCCAGTTCGTGGTTCAGCCATAATTTCGGACAAGAGCAATTCTGCACAGGGCGAGCAGAAGACAGCCGCTGGAATAAGACAGATCTAGGCTCCAAACCCAGAAGTGTGCCACAAAATCTGAGTGACCTTTGCAAGTCTCAGGACACTGGTCTATGCTGTTTGCTATGAAATGACTCTAGTAAGGTCCAAGAAGTCTCACAGTTGAGGGGAGAATGAAATCATTGGGCAGACTTGACAAAGAGCTTGACAGCGGTGTCGAAGTTCCTACCCTCTGTCCCCGTCTCGCACCTACTGTTTTTCCTACAGTAGGAGTCAGATGTGTGGGGTGAGTGACGCCAACTGAAAATGAAGGGTGAAGGGAGGCAACTTCCCCCTTGCCCTTGCCCCTTCCCCCGCCGACCCAGCTCCCGACCTCAGGTTCCGGGAGAGTCGCTGTGGAAGTGGGGTGAGGGCACAGAAGTGGGCAGGGAGGATCTGCTAACTGTAAACACAGACGCCATCAAGAGTTCAGATTCCGTCTGGCCACCGGATTTCCGTGCTACACGGATACCACCCCGCCCTTGCGCCTGCCGTCAGTTATCCCAGCTGTGTAATGGGGATACACCACCTTTCACTCCCGAGTATCCGCCAGACCTGACCGCGTGAGAAAGGCGAGAAGGAGCTCCGAGTCGTTGGCCTCTAGCCCCACCAGGTCCTCCTCCCACTTTAGCTTTGGCCTTTTGTACCGGCCCCACGTGACCCGCCCGGCCGGCTCTTCCCTCTTATACCGCCCCGCCCTCCGGCCTTTCCCCGCTCACAGCCCAGCTATTCCCGCTCCTTCGCAGCCCCCCTCCCGCGCTCTCTCTCCCTCCCCCT